TAATGTAGAGACGAGGTCTCACCAAATTGCCCAGGCTGGTCTCAAACCCGTGGACTCAGGCAATCCTCTAGCCTCCGTGCCCCACTCCGCGCCCCCCCCCACCGCCAAAGTGCTGGGATTACAGGCATGAGCCACCACACCTGGCCTGGTAATCCTTTTTTAAATATTGTTATTTATATTCATTTGGACTCTTCAATCTGTACTTTGGTGTCTTTTGAGACAGAGTCTCACTCTCACCCAGGCAGGAGTGAAGTGGCATGATCATGGCTCACCATAGCCACAGACTACTGTGCTCAAGTGATCCTCCCACCTCAACCTCCCGAGTAGCTGGGGCTACAGGCATGCACCACCATGCCTGGCTAATTTTTCTTTCTTTCTTTTTTTTTTTGTAAAGACGAAATCTTGCTTTGTTGTCCAGGCTGGTCTTGAACTCCTGGCCTCAAGCAATTCTCCTGCCTCAGCCTCCCAAAGCACTGGGATTATAGGCGTGAGCCAGTACACCCCACTTGGTATCTTTTATCGATTCTGGAAAAATCCTCAACCACTGTTTTGTTCATATGTTGCCTCTGTCTTTTCCTTTCATTATGGGGTTCTCATTAAAATTTGTCCACAGCTGGGTACAGTGGCTCAAGAATATAATCCTAGCACTTTGGAGGCCGAGGCAAGAGGATTGCCTGAACTCAGGGGTTTAAGACCAGCCTGGGCAACTTGGTGAGACCTCGTCTCTACAATAAATAAAAAATAAGCCAGGCATGGTAGCACTCGCCTGTAGTTTCAGCTACTTGAAAGGCTAAGGCAGAAGGATTGCCTGAGTGCAGCAGGTTGAGACTGAGGTGGCTGTGAGGTGCCACTGCACTCCAGCCTGGGTGACAGAGTGAGACTCTGACTCAAAAAAAAAGTTGTCCTAATTTTTTCTCTCTTTTTCCCCCTCCCACCCTGTGTCCTGCATTCTCCAGGGAGATAGACAGGTGGACAAGTGCCAGGCCAGAGGTCTGTGCGAGGGAGACACTAAGGCAGCTCTGCTCTGTCAGGATCTTCCCCCTTGGGTTGGGCAGAGGGATCAGGCCAGCGCAGAAGTCCTTTAGCTCGCCCTAGTCAGCCCTCTCCAGCGTTACACACCATCAATATCCCAAAGCCTTTCCTCTGATCTCCTCCCTCTTGCTTTCAGCAATAAGGTTCGCCTACTTCAAAAAAGCAACTCCCGCTGGGCAGGGAGGTTCATGCCTGTCATCCCAGCACCTTGGGAGGCAGAGGTGAGAGGATTACCTGAGCCCAGGGGTTCAAAACCAGCCTGGATAAACTGGCCAGACCTCGTCTCTACAATAAATTTAAAAAATTAGCTGGGTAAGGTGGCTCATGCCTATAATCCTAGCACTTTGAGAGACCGAGGTGAGAAGATTACCTGAGGTTCCAGTTACTTGGAAGGAAGGCTGAGCCCAGCAGGTTGAGGCTGCGGTGGCCATGAGCCTGCCACTGCACTCCAGGCTGGGCAACAGAGGGAAACTCCAACTCAGAAAAAAAAAAAAAAAAAAAAAAAACGGACCGGGTGCAGTGGCTCACACCTATAATCCCAGCACTTTGGAATCCAGAGTAGGAGGATTGCTTGAACCCAGGAGTTCAAGACCAGTCTGAGCAACATAGCAAGATTTCATTTCTATAACAGATCAAAAAACTAGCCGGGCGTTGTGGTGGTGCATGCCTGTGGTTCCAACTATTTGGAAGGCTGATATTGAAGGATCACCAGAGCACTGTGGTTCCAACTATTTGGAAGGCTGAGGTTGAAGGATCACCAGAGCACAGCAGGTCAAGGATGCAATAGCTATGAGCGTGCCACTGCACTCCAGCCTGGGTGACACAGTAAGACTCCAACTCAAAAACTAATTAATTAATTTTTAAAAAGGCCAGTTGCAGTGGCTCACACCTGTAATCCCAGAACTTTGGAAACCGAAGAAGTGGAAGGATTGCTTGAACCCAGGAGTTCAAGATCAGTCTGGGCAACATAGCGAGACCTCATCTCTACAAAAGAAATTTTTTTTTTTTTTTTTTTT